CCTATACGACTGTCCCCAAGGGAAACCACGTAGCCGTTTTTGAGACAAGGATAACTCTATCACTAACCAAACCAGTGGTAGCAGTTGACATCTGAGTCAGATGACCGCCTGTATTACTTGGGATAAATGCAGGGGGTACCTCTTGAGTTAATAGCCAACAAACATTGGCAAATCAAGGGGTCTAGCCGGCCTCCGCCGCCTGGTACCTCTACTTCTCAAGCAAGAGTGACGGCGACTGAGTAACACCAACGTTAACTCATAGTCACTCCCTCAAACTTGGTATGGAACTCAAACCCCTATTCCTACTAGGTAACCTATTGAATTAATAGCCAACATACATTGGCGAATCAAGGGGATCAGCCGGCCTCCGCCGCCTGGTACCTCTACTACTCAATCTAGAGTGTGACGGAGACTAACTCCTATGTTAACTTATAGTCACTCCCTCAAACTTAGTATGGAGTCTAAAAGGTATGAGTCGTCCGCCTGTTTTTAGCAAATAGGGGCTCTCAACCACTACTCCTGCTAGGTTAACAAATTATGAGTTAAAAGCCAACAAACATTAGCGAATAAAGGGAAACAACCGGTACACGCCGCTTGTTATCTCTACTACTCAGTTCCTTGGCGACTAGGTAACACTCATGTTTACTTGGTCAGACCACTTTCCTACTTGGTTAAATTTACAAATGACAGGACCGCCTGCCTAAAAAGGATCCAGACCTTAAAATAGTTCGAATACCGATTGGATAAATGGCCGACTGATCGTCTATCCTGGAAACAGACAACCAGTCGTCCAGGGGCATAGGCGGCGTGACTAACTATTCGTACCTATCTGCAACTATCGGCCATGTAAAACAGTCGATCTAGTGAACAATTGGATATTAGAATATGGAATACTTGGACAAATTTGAGGCAAAACAAAAATTCATTAAAAAGAAGCCGGCCATTAAAGACCGGCAAAATATTCAAAGCCCCGGCCCCCTGGCCGGGTAAATACAAAACAAACGGCACGCAGGCCGTGGAAAGAATACATAAAGCTTAAGAAGGGGGCAGATCTTCAATATTAGCAGCTGCCGCCTGGTCAGCACTCTTCTTGCTGGACTCGGCTTCAGCTGCATCCTTTTTTGATGCATTACCCCCAAGCGGCACAAGCGCCACTACCGGCTCCTCCTCCTCCAACGCTTCCTCCAACGCCTCTTCCTCAGCAGCCGCCAGGATCTCTTGATTATATGTATCAGAACACTGGCGGTACGTTTTTTCCCATGAGGCAAAGTCGGCATTAGGGAAGAGGCGGCCCCAAGTCATGCGCTGGATTTGAGCGGAGTCTTCCATCATCTCCCGGACCAGCTCTTTCTTCTCTTGCTCGGCCTTTTCCGAGAGCTCCTGGGTAAGACTCTTCTCTTGGGTCACCAGGCGTTCCTTTACGTTGGCCAAGGATTTCTCCAAGGCTTCGTATGAGTACATTTTTAGGCGAAGAGGTTTCAGCTCGGCCTTGAGATTGGTGATGGTCGCCTCCAGCTCGCCATTCCTCTTCTGGGCCGCCTCTAACTGAGCCCGAACAGCGGCGGTAGCCTGCGCCTGATAATAAAGAATATCAATGGTCAGAACTTCAGTTTGGGCAATTTGAAACATTGCCTTATCACAGTTGGAGGCGGCCATAGCTTTTGCTGCCTTTACCTCTTTGTTCTTCCGGTCAAGCGGCTTGCGAAGGCCGTTCACTCGGAGCAGGGCCTAAGTAAAAAGAAACAGGCGTCAGTTTCCAAACAAAAAAGAAAACAGGCGTCCAGAAATTTAAATACTCAAAAATATGCTAAGTATACCTCAGCAAGGACCCCTGCAATCCCGTCTAGGTCAAGGGTGCCGACACCCCTGACCGCCTCCCTTTCAGCTGGAGGAACTGCCCTGATCATAGACTTGGCCATCTCTACCAAGTCAGGCTCCTGAGGGCCGACTGCATCAAGCATAAACAAACGGATTAGACCTGGTACAAAAGGGAGCGAGTCTAAAATTTACAAGGACAACTTCATACTTCTAGGCGGCCCAGTTGGAGTTTTAGAAGAAGTGGTCGGCTGTTTCTCAGCCGCCACATGTTTCCTGGCAGAACCAGGAGAGCTCCCAACAGTCGTCCTCCGGGCCTTGGGGTCCGGCTGTTGGGAAGATGAAGCTCTTGGAGCACCCGTCTAAAAAAGAAGAAAAAAAAAGTCACTATATGCATAAACACAACTCCAAAAAGAGGGTGAAAGGTTCGGAGCTCACCAAGGGTGCCCCCTTCTTGGGGGATTCAGTTGAAGCTTGTTGCATGATGGAGGCCCGCAACATGGCCGCCGCAGTCTTGGAGGCGGTGATTTTGCTCATGGCGTCAGCTGCAAAAACAAACAGCAAAGTTAATAAAAGTCATAACAAGAAATGTATGGAACAACAGAGTATTCGACAGGCCGACTACCTCTTGAGCACCGACTACTGAGGCCACAGGCGGCCAAAAAGTACTCGTCGTAGAGCCATTTGAAGCTCGGGACGCAGTGCAGGGGTACTTGCTCTCATACCCCTGAAGTAGATTCGACCCTCGACTCTACTTTAAAGAGTCCTTTATCAAGGATCTCTTTCTTAGCCTTGGGGGAACAGGCGGCATGCTACGGCCGCCTGCAAGAAGGGGCGGATTCCTGTTCCACCTATTGAAGCGCTTGTTCAGCTCAGTGTCTGAACTCTCAATGATGAGGAAGGTGCTCCGCCAGTCCTTCCACTTGTTTGCTTTACCTCTCGTCATGAGGTAGCCCCTGTGGCTTGTCAATTGATACCAGCCGGTACCGCCTGTCTTAGGGGTCCGGCTGAGATAGTTCATATGGGCGAAAGCCTCGAAGCTCGGCTCCACCCCGTGCAGTTCGCACCCGGCCACATAGCCGAGTACGTTGACCCAGGAGTTTGGGGCTAACTGCCATAACCCCAACTTATACCCATCCAAGATCCGCTGAACACCCGGATGTAATGGGAAGCGCAGCCCTGCCTTGATGGCCGCCTCGTAGCAGCCAAAGCAGGCGTTATCATAACTGGTACCAGCCGGCCAGACGACTGTGTCTTCTGGATCCGGCACAAACACTAGAAAGTCGGGGCCCATGGTGTGGTTTGCAATAAAGCTCTCCACTTTCTCTTGCATGGCTGTGATCCGGCCCCGAGGTACCGTGCAGTAATAGGGGGTATTTAGCTCTCGGTAAGAGGCGGATGGCTCCGCCCAATTGTCCCCCTTCTCAACTGCGTGAGAAAGTCTCGCCTCTTGCAGGCGGCTTTTTTTCTCTTCTGTGTCCAAAGAAGCATGGCCAGAAGAGCTTGACTCGGAATCGTCCTCTGACGAGTCCGAAGAGGACGACTCCTCCCCTCTCCCGGAGGGGCTCGCCTTCTCTCTTTGAAAAGGAGCAGAATTGTTAACTGTTAAATGGGAAGGGGTCACTATGACTCCTCCCACAGAATTGCCGGCTTTCAGGCCGCCTTGTTTCACTTCCACATCTGGCGCCTGGTCAGATGTTTCACTAAGCGGCACCCTGTGGGAGGAGCCGTCTGAATTTGAGATCCTAGCAGTCTTTTTCGTTCTGGCCATCCTGCTCTGCATAGACACAGATACAGTCGGACTTTGTATAAAGGGCAAAGATGGGTCCGGAAAAGGGCAGGCGGCACTCCTAGCCCTAGATTCAGCCGTCCCCGGTGACCGGCTGATCACTAACCTAGGTCGTGTCGTGTGCTTCCGTGGTGCCATTTCAAAAAATAAAAAGAAAATTAAGAGTAAGAGAACCGACAGTTACCTGAACGAGTGACGATTGATGAAGTGCTGAAAATCCTGTGCGGTCGGCTTGTCAGAACAGGCGGTAGGCAGAAAAGGTCCAAAATGTCAGAGCAAGTTCAGGGGTCCGAATGTTCTCTCTCAAAGTTCTCTCAAACTTCTGCTCAAATTACTTTCAGGCGTCAATTGACACAAAAACTCGGGACAACACTGACTTACCAGAGTTGTTCTTGGTGGATAGCGGCCGTGTCTCAACTAAGGGTAAAACTCGGTATTTAGATGAAAAGGAACTCAAGTGTGCTCATTTGTTCGTTTTACAAAACTGTGGCATTCTTGGTGAATACGAAAGGTATATGTGTTAAGAACTTAGTTTTATTCATAGTTCTATAGAATTAAATTGGTTAATTACTAATTTCTCTTGGTCATTGCCATAATAGGAAGTTTGAGGACTACGTTCTTTGTACCCGACCTTTTTTGCATAGAGAAGAAGTTATGGAGAAATGTGACGCCGAATTCTCTGATTGGTTTCACAACAAGGTGATAGAAATGTTCTAGCTGTTCTTTAAATATGACTTCTTTAAATATGACTTTCAGATCTTGCAATTCACTTTAATTAATTCTTGAATTGTCACGTAAATAGGTGGTTGAATAGATACCAAATTTGGATGTCCTGCACGCATAGTGCATGCGCCCTTTCAAGCCCACTACTACAAAAAAGGGTTTATAGAACGGTTAAAATTGGCTTTATAGAACGCCTTAGGAGAGCGTTTTTCTGCTAAGCGATGTGTAAAGTATATAGAACTAGGGGTGGCAATTCGGGTCAGCAGGTCGGGTTCGGGTCAGATTTCGGGTCGATTTCGGGTTATGCTAAGAAACTATTAAAAATAGTGTAAAACTTAATATTATTACGAAATATGAAATTTGGGGCAAATCGGGTCAAATTCGGGTTGTTCGGGTTCGGTTCAGGTCGGGTTCGGGTCTCTCTCAGTAACTTCGGGTCAGGTTCGGGTCGGGTTTTCGTGTCGGGTTAGGGTTTGCCAGCCCTATATAGAACGGTTCATGTAAGCGTTCGGTATACTCAATAATAGAGAACGGTCATCAGACAAAACCGTTTTCTATCCCCTTATTAAAATCAGAACATAAAGAAGGGATAAAGAATGGTTAGTATGCTTGACCGTTCTATAATACATTACTAAAGAGAATAGTTAAGCCAGATAACCATTCTCTAATCCTCTTTTTTTTTTTTTTTTTTTTTTTTTTTTAAAGAAATAAAAAAGTTGGTATACGTTATTTATTCGGTAGCTCATCTCATGGCTAGATGGGATACTCGAAATAGTGATGAACTTATTTGTATTGGTAACATACCGCAAAGTCTTTTAACTCTTGCGGCTCTTGATCTATAATAAAATCCTTGCTAACGTTTTCCCTCAAAAAAAAAAAAAAAACATTTCTTGCAATATTAATACAGAAATAAATTAATGAAGAAATAATACATAAAATGTAATCTCCAATGTATACAACAAATTTAGCATGAAAATAAGAACAACACTAAAAGAAGAATCATACAACAAAAAATATAACAGGAAGAATTAAACAATTATTTTTTGTCATTTTTCTTGTCTACTTTTGTATCTTCTCACTTTCTTTGATAGTAGCAATCTACAAAACAAATATAATAATAATATAAGTGTACATTCTTATTTGAATTAAAAAAATTCCAACTTTTAAAAAAAACCTTATACTACTAAATCTAAGTTCTGAAATTTGAAGGAAAAAATACAATTATAAATGAAGAAATTACCTTAATCGGATGATACGGAAATATTTAGGTCCATATCATGAATGGATTATCAAATGAAAGCCTTCACAACCCCAGTTCATAGCTTGAACAAGATCTTGCTTGAAGTATCGCTGCTTATGGAGCACAAATAAAAATTAAAATTCAATGTGTTAAATAGATCCGAAAACTAAGGTTTCAATCAAAATACAAAACTCAAGATCTAAACAAAAAACACATGTATACAAATTTGCAAAATTAATTCAAAATAGAACCCAATTAAACGAAGATCTAATGAAAATAGCACATAGAGAAAGGGGAAAATACACACCTCGACAAGATCGAAAGTTCAAAAAGGGGGAAACATAGACAAATAATTAAGAAAAAATTAAAGAGAATATGAAGAAACTGATGATCAGAATAGGATCGAAAAATATGAAATCAAACAATGGTAGAAAATTTCATAATTTTGAGAAAAATAATATAGAAAAAGAGAACAAACCATTAGCGATAAAAACGGCACAAACGTCAACAACAATGGGAAACAAGAGAGTGTTGTTCTTATTAGGATTAAAGTGATAAGACTGATCTCATTAAAAGGGTAGAATTAATAATTATGTCATACTAAACACAACGGTTGTAAGTAGCACCATTTTTTATCTTATTAATGTTATTAATTTTATATTTATTTTTTGGAGAAAAAAAATTAAAGAACAGTTAGGATGATGAACCGTTCAATATTCTTTCATATAGAATGGTTGTAAAAGAAAATCGTTCTATTTTGTTCTAGAGAACTCTTATCTAAGTTAACCGTTTTGTATATTGCGTTTCTTATTTCACTTTTTGTTGTAGTGAGCGTGTCGAACTTGGAGGCAGATTTTTGTAGGTGGATTTTATTTCCATACACATTCCCATGGCAAACACAAGTCTACGATGAATTATCGTGTGTGTGTGTCTAGTGAGGACGATGGAGAGTACTTTGGCATTCTAGAAGACATAATTGAACTTTTCTACACTGGTCCAAAAAATAGTATAAGACTATTTTGTTTAAGTGTAGTTGGATGGATTGTAGTAGGGGTATGAACGTACATGAACATTACAAGCTTGTCGAAGTGAATCATATTAAGAAATACCCCAAGTATGATCCCTTTGTATTATCTTATCAAGTGATCCAAGTGTACAACACATCCTACCCTAGCGTAAAACGAGATCGAGTTCAATGGTGGGCTGTATTTAGAACACATGCAAGGTCAGTGATTGATGCTCCAGTGGACCTTGAGTTTTTGCAGGCACCGTCCCCACAAGTCCATCCAACGCTTTGTTCACCGAATGACATTCCTGACTATGACCTAGTTGAGGATGACGATGAAGATGATGATTGCGGTTTAATAATCTTAAGCGATGACAATAATAAATCTAGCGTCGATTGTAGTCATAGTGACGAGGATGATGACATCGATGCATTTTTAGATGATAGTAGTGATGATACCAGGAGTGATATTAGCGATGAAAGTCACGACTAGTAGAATGTGCTTGTTATATAGGAGAATTTGCTTGTAGTTGTGTAGTTGTCAGTTGAATTTGGTTGTTATTGTAAAATCAATTAAAGAATTTGTCGTTCTATTGTTAATTTTGTTACATCTCATTATACTTGTAATTTTTGTAATGTTAATAATATCATGTCATGTTACTAACATCTTTTTCAGATGGTAATGGCAATAGGGAAAAAAAAAAGGAGATACGTCGAAGAGAAAAAAAGGGAAAGGAGAAAAGGCAAGTTTTGACATATGATGATGACGAGGAAATGGAGGACGCGTAGGACGTGGAAGATTTGGGTGACAATGAGGATCCTTAAACACAGATGCAGATACAGCATCATGGGCAACAACTTCAGGGGCAACAAGCCTCATAGTTATCTGAGTTAGTGGTATTAGACCCTGCCACGCAATGGTATGTATGTAGTTGTGATTTATTTCCCTTTGTATCCATATTTCCTATCACTGACCTATGTATTACTCTAACATGAACTATTTATTTATTTTTTGTTCATGATGCACGTTAAAATAGGTTTGATGATAAACCTGTTGTAAAGGCCGTCACCGGTACCCTAACAGGCTACTATCGAAAGCCTTGGAGGAATTACAGAGAGGTTGATGCTTAAACTACGGAGCATTGGTGGAACTTGTTTTGTGGATGACATTTTCTACTTATAACTATGTATTACTAAATGTATTGATAGAGTTGTGGTTGATAACTTTAAATTTTTGTCATATGCAGAAACAATGCACATGTGCACCTGAGTTTAACGACCATGTGAAGAAAACCTTCGAATCCAAGTTTGCATATCGGCTGAAGGACATGTTTCACACAATCACACACAAGATGAACAGTGAGAAGCCGGACTAGATGATTGAGAATGTCCACAAGCAAATGATGCACATTGTTTCCAAGAATGATAAGTACAAGAAGCGGTCTGAACAAAACAAGAAGAAGGATCGATGGACAATGTGGTTGAACCAACCCACTACCAAGGTGCAATTTCAACTGTACAGCATGGAAAAAGGATGCCGAGTTTGGTTTTTAGGCAAGTGAAATCAATAACAATTGTGTATTACATTCAAATGAAAAGTTTAGTTTGTTTTGGTGCATGTACATTCTAAGGCGGCGAAAAACAAAGGCCAGTTACCAACTGCACATGAGCCTTTCATGAAGACACACTTCAAGGAGGTCCCTGGGAAAGGAATAGTGCCTGCAAATTCCAAAGCCAAGTACATTGCGGTAATAACTTTATTATAATTTAGTATCTAAACTTATTATTTTGTCTTTAAATGGCTTTATTTTTATTATATGACCCCAAAAACTTAGAAAGTGACTTATTTTATGTCATTTCAAGTCATAATAACTTATAACTATGTAATTATGAGATTGTTTGAGAACGAATGAATTCATAAGTTAACAAATGAAGAAAATAGGCATATAAGAAGCCATTTTGGCTTTAAATGACTTTATTTTGATGAAAATGGACCCAAAAACTTAGAAATTAGCTTCTTATATGTTATTTAAATTAATAATCACTTATAAATATGTAATTATGAGATGGTTTGAGAGAGAGGAGTTCATAAATTAAGAAATGAAGAAAATAGGCCTGTTAGAAGCCATTTTGGCTTTAAATGGCTTTATTTTGATGATATGACCACATAAACATTGAAATTAGCTTCTTTTATGTCATTTCAATTCATAATCACTTATAATTATGTAATTGTGAGATGGTTTGAGAAAGCATAAGTTCATAAGTTAAAAATGAAGAAAATAGGCATATTAGAAGCCATTTTGGGTTTAAATGTCTTTATTTTGATGATATGACCCCAAAAACATAGAAATTAGATTTTTATAAGTCATTTAAATTCATAATCATTTATAAATATGTAAATGTGAGATGGTTTGAGAAAGAATAAGTTTATAAGTTAAGAAATGAAGAAAATAGGCATATTAGAAGCCATTTTGGCTTTAAATGGCTTTATTTTGATGATATGACCCCATAAACTTAGAAATTAGCTTCTTTTATGTCATTTAAATTCATAATAACTTATTACTATGTAAGTATGAGATGGTTTGAGAAAGAATGAGTTCATAAGTTAAGAAATGAAGAAAATAGGCATGTTAGAAGCCATTTCGGCTTTACTTGGCTTTATTTTGATAAAATGAACCCAAATACTTTGAAAATGACTTCTTTTTATGTGATTTCAAGTTATAATCACTTATAACTATGTAATTATGAAATGGTTTGAGAATGAGTGAGTTTATAAGTTAAGAAATAAAGAATATAGGCATGTTAGAAGCCATTTTAGGTTTACTTGGCTTTATTTTGATTATGACCCAAAAACTTAGAAATTAGCTTCTTATATGTAATTTCAATTTATATTAACTTATAACTATGAAATTATGAATTGGTTTGAGAAAGAATGAGTTCATAAGATAAGATATGAAGAATATAGGTATGTTAGAAGCCATTTTCGGTTTACCTGGCTTTATTTTGATGATATGACCCCAAAAAGTTAGAAATTAGATACTTGTATACAATTTCAAGTCATAATAACTTATAAATATGTAATTGTGAGATAGTTTGAGAAAGAATAAGTTCATAAGTTAAGAAATGAAGAAAATAGGCATATTAGAAGCCATTTTGGCTTTAAATGTCTTAATTTTGATGATATGACCCCATAAACTTAGAAATTAGCTTCTTTTATGTAATTTGAATTTATAATTACTTATAAATATGTAATTATGAGATGGTTTGAGAGAGAATGAGTTCATAAGTTATGAAATGAAGAAAATAGGCATATTAGAAGCCATTTTGGCTTTATATAGCTTTATTTTGATGATATGACCCCATAAACTTAGAAATTAGCTTCTTTTATGTCATTTGAATTCATAATCACTTATAACTATGTAATTATGAGATGGTTTGAGAGAGAATGAGTTCATAAGTTAAGAAATGAAGAAAATAGGCATGTTAGAAGCCATTTTGGCTTTAAATGGTTTCATTTTGATGAAATGAACCCAAAAACTAAGAAAATGACTTCTTTTATGTGATTTGAAGTCATAATAACTTATAATATGTAATTATGAAATGGTTTGAGAAAAAATGAGTTCATAAGTTAAGAAATGAAGATTATAGGCATGTTAGAAGCCATTTTGGCTTTAAATGGCTTTAGTTTGATGAAATAAACCCAACAACTTAAAAAATGACTTCTTTTATGTGATTTAAAGTCATAATCACTTATAAATATGTAATTGTATGTAATTGTGAGATCGTTTGAGAAAGAATGAGTTCATTAGTTATGAAATGAAGAAAATAGGCATGTTAGATGCCATTTTGTCTTTACTTTTCTTTATTTTGATGAAATGAACCCATAAACTGAGAAATTAGCTTCTTATATGTCATTTCAAGTCACACTCACTTATAAATATGTAATTGTGAGATGGTTTGAGAAACAATAAGTTTATATGTTATGAAATGAAGAAAATACGCATATTAGAAACCATTTTGGCTTTAAATGGCTTTAATTTGATTATATGACCCCATAAACTTAAAAATTCGCTTCTTTTATGTCAATTTAAATACAGTCACTTGTAACTATGTTATTATTAGATGGTTTGAGAAAGAATGAGTTCATAAGTTAAGAAATGATGAATATAGCCATGTTTGAAGCCATTTTGGATTTACTTGGCTTTATTTGATTAAATGAACCCAAAAACTTAGAAAATGACTTTTTTTTTTGTTTTTTTTTTGTGATTTCAAGTTATAACTACTTATATGTTTATTTTTTTTACTTGTAACTTATGTTGTTGGTAATTTGTTTAAACTAATTAATATTTTATAATATATTTCTTGTAGGAGAGCTACTAGAAGAAGATTGAAGAAGCCACCACTCAAGGGATTAAAAAGAGTACTAATTTAATGAGTTGTATTGGGAGACTGTGGGTGGTCGCAACAAGAAGGGTCTGGTGAGGGGACTTGGCCAAAAAGAAGAGTTGTACTATGGCAACCGGATGGGTCGAGTTTCTAGGTCTTTATAGCAGTACACATCATCTGATGTTTCTCAGATGCAGGATCAGATGGAGCATAGGGTGGAGGCTCT